ATGCTGCGCGAGTGTGTGTGAGTGAGTGAGTGTATGTGTGTCTGAGTGAGTGAGTGAGTGTGTGTGTGTGTGCTGGATGAGTGTGTTATATGTAAGCGCATGGCTAATGCTGCTCGAGTGTGTGTGAGTGAGTGAGTGTATGTGTGTCTGAGTGAGTGAGTGAGTGTGTGTGTGTGTGTCTGTGAGTGTGTGTGAGTGAGTGAGTGTGTGTGTATGTGTGTCTGAGTGAGTGAGTGTGTGTGAATGAGTGTGTGTGTGTCTGTGAGTGTGTGTGAGTGAGTGAGTGTGTGTGTATGTGTGTCTGAGTGAGTGAGTGTGTGTGAATGAGTGTGTGTGTGTCTGTGAGTGTGTGTGAGTGAGTGAGTGTGTGTGTATGTGTGTCTGAGTGAGTGAGTGTGTGTGAATGAGTGTGTGTGTGTCTGTGAGTGTGTGTGAGTGAGTGAGTGTGTGTGTATGTGTGTCTGAGTGAGTGAGTGTGTGTGAATGAGTGTGTGTGTGTCTGTGAGTGTGTGTGAGTGAGTGAGTGTGTGTGTATGTGTGTCTGAGTGAGTGAGTGTGTGTGAATGAGTGTGTGTGTGTCTGTGAGTGTGTGTGAGTGAGTGAGTGAGTGTGTGTGAATGAGTGTGTGTGTGTGTGGCTGTGAGTGAGTGAGTGAGTGCGTGTGTGTGTGTGTGTTGTAATGTGTGTTTAACTGACCCCTGTCCATTTTACACGCTGTCTCCCTTTAATGGCCTCCCGCATGTAAGTAACTAATCGTGTCGACCTCCTTTTGCTAAAGTAACAAGCGGTTGTTGTGTTTGTACTTGTTATTTGTTACCCATGTCAACCAAGCGACTAGTAAAGGCATGAGTTTAGTGTTTCTGTGAGATCTGATGTTGAAATCAGTCGATGTGATTGACAGTGTTGTGTTGCTTCAGTCACTTCCTGTGAGGGCTGTGGAACTTCCTCCGAATCACGTCATATTGAAAAGCACTGATGACTGGAATGAGCAGGAGCTCCACTAATACTGGAACACACTACAACACACTTTAACTTCACACAGCTTTAAAATAACAGTACATGATAACCATGTGCTAATAGCTCGATTCAATATGACTTTAATATGAACTAACGATGAGGCATGTACTAATCAAGAGCTTTAACTACGACACAAATCGTATGAATTCATCTGTGATTATTACATGGCTTAACTCACCATTAGTTCATATTGAAGTAATCGATCGTTTGCACATGACGTCGTTGCTGTGGCATGAAATGCATCTGGAGGGCGGGAAGTGATTTTTCTGTATAGGAATCGCGTGCAGAAACTCCAAAATGCCTGTTTTGCGTTGTTTATGGATGCTCAAATCGGTCAAACTGAGAAACCACAAGGAGCTTTTATTGTGTGCGAAAAGTGTTGTTCATAAGGGGGGAAAAAAAAGACAAACAAATTGATTGAAAAATTCAGGAAAAAGTGGCTTGTAAACCTGCGTCTGAGGTCAGGAGGAGCCGAGTCGGATAATGCTTGTGTGTGCAAATGGTTATTATAAGATATAATAATACGTTAAGATATTATAAATAGATACAGGGCTGCCAACTCTTGTGCATTCAGCGAGAGACAGTCAGAATTCACTCAATGCTAAACGCCACACGTAGACATTATGTAAATAAGATATTATATTTGCAGTTCAGAGAGCTTCATTGATTATAACGGAACATTGTGAGATTGCGATTAAATTGAAGTGAGTGACAGCTTTTTAGTGATTATATGGAAGCGCTGTTTGCTCGCTTTCAAAGGCGATAATCGATTCAGTATTTCCGGCCACATACCCTGTACAAGCAGCAAAGATTCAGGAGTGACATATATTCAGCATCCCTCATATAAATGCTGGATTCACTTCCAATATAGCTTGTTTGCAATCAGGGTTAGTTGCTTAGCCTGTGTCCACCGCCTGTTTATACTTTTCTCTTGTAATAGTGTCTAAACCAGTACAGTACGGACTTTCCATTTCACTTTCATTCCATCATCAGAATCACATGATTGCAAACAAGCTATACTAACAGACACAACAAACTCACACAGAAACGCATGTCTCATTGCTCTGAGACGCGTGACAAATCAAAACGATATGTTCTAAATCAGCTCAAAATATCAAACATGTTTAATATCGTCTGACTGGATGCAAAAGCGAGGGCAGAAGTGCTGTAGTGTATTCCAGCTTTACAGGAGCGAACGTTCTGTCGCCATTCACTCGCCCTCGTGTCGCTCTGAACACAGAATATTCTGAATGATCGTTTGGTGAGGAACGCATGGAAATGTAAAGTATGTATTATTATCTGCTGTGAAAGAGCAGCATGAACATTCTGCTAAACGTCTCATCTCATGTTCCACTGAAGAGTCAAAGTCACGAGGTCGAGCCAGTGAGGACAGAATCTCGCAGCTCGTTTAATTCAAAGACATCTTAAAGCAAACCCCGAGTTCCTCTCACCAGCTCTCATCACATCTGAATGACATCATTTCCTGTTTCCTGCTGATTCACGCTAGCCCGTCACGCAGTCCGTGTCACTGATCAGGTCTCTGTTTCCTCCAGTCTTCGACCAACTAGATCTGGTGACGTATGAAGAGGTGGTGAAGCTGCAGGCGTTCAAGAGGAAAACGCTGGTGCTGCTGGGTAATTTATTACATGCTATGGCACTTTATACAGTACAGATCGATTCAAAGCAGCTTCACAGAAATAAACAGGAAAATAACAGAGATGATGTTGCAGAATCCATCAGTTATGACAAATTATTCAGTCATTGTTCAGTTCAGTAATCAAGTCACCTTTATTTATATAGAGCTTTTTACAGATTGTCAAAGCAGCTTTACAGTCTTAAAGGGATAGTTCAGCCAAAAATGAAAACTCCGTCATTAATTACTCACCCTCGTGTCGTTCCAAACCTGTAAGACCTTCGTTCATCTTCAGAACACAAATTAAGATATTTCTGATGAACTCCGAGAGCTCTCTGACCCTTCATAGACAGCAAGGATCCTAACACGATCGAGGCTCAGAAGCGTAGCAAACTGTAGAAACTGTAGGTCTCCAGATTCGACTAAAATTTTGATCGGATTGTAAGGGGTGGTTTATTCCTTTTGTAATCCGAGTGAGAGGACATGCAAACACTTGATCGGATTGAAAACCAAAACTGTAAAGTACTGCGCATGTGCAGTGACTTAAAAATAGTGTAATGACGTGCGGAACGAGCTGTTCTTCCTGGTGAATAAAGTGTCATAAATGAGTGTCCCATCATTATAAAACTCCCCTTTCACTCAGCGTCTGTGAAGTGGAGCAGGACAACGTCCCACCGGTCCTTGTTTAAGACTATCATCCACAGACGACTGGGTTTTGGGTGCGGGAAGGGGCACTTTTACTGTTTTCTAAAGTAAGCAGCACAGCACAACAGTTCATGTGCTGGTCGTCGCCTAACCGATCACTCTATTTATCGTTCATGTAAACACTACGCTCAGATTCGTCAATCAGAATGAATTCATTCCGATGGAAGCAAAAAGTGTCCATGTAGACGTAGCTATTGACTCAGTGATGTCATCATCCAGCTCAGTTCAGTTTAAATAGTATCTGTGCAATCAAGTTGATGATATTGCTGGAAAATAAGTGACACACTCTCACACACACACACACACACACACACACACACACACACACACACACACACACTCTCTCACACACACATACTCGCTCTCTCTCTCTCTCTCTCTCTCTCCTGACAGACACCACCAGACCGCCGAAGAAGGACGAGGAGAACGGCAAGAACTACTACTTCGTGTCACATGACCAGATGATGCTGGACATCTCCAACAACGATTACCTGGAGTACGGCAGCCACGAGGACGCCATGTACGGCACGCGCCTCGAGACCATCCGCCAGATCCACGAGCAGGGCATGGTGGTCATCCTGGACGTGGAGCCGCAGGTACAGACGCATCTCTCATTCGTGACCCTGCAGCACAAAAGCAGTCTTAAGTCGCTGGGGTATATTTGTAGCAATAGCCAACAATACATTGTATGGGTCACAATTATACATTTCTCTTTTATGCCAAAAATCATTAGGATATTAAGTAAAGATCATGTTCCATGAAGATATTTAGTAAATTTCCTACCATAAATATATCAAAACTTAATGTTTGATTAGTAATATGCATTGCTAAGAACTTCATTTGAACAACTTTAAAGATGATTTTCTCAATATTTAGATTTTTTTGCACCCTCAGATTCCAGATTTTCAAATAGTTGTATCTCAGCCAAATATTGTCCTATCCTAACAAACCATACACCAATGGAGAGATTATTTATTCAAAAATTACCCTTATGACTGGTTTTGTGGTCCAGGGTCTCATTCACTCTCTCACTCAGTTTAGTTCAGTTCAATTCAAGTGAGCTTTATTGGCATGACTTGCACAGTATTGCCAAAGCATTGACTATTTTATGAACAAAGAACAAATAATTATTATATAATACATAAACAAAACAAGAATAGATCTATAAATCATTAAGTAGATAACTACATGACTACATTTTTTTAATAAACAAGAAATTAGAAAATAGTTAAGATATTGTCTTAAGAAGTCATCTTTCAAGTTCAAGTTGCTTTATTGGCATGACTTTTGTAATAAAGTATTGCCAAAGCATTTTAAGTACATGTAAAATACAGAATATAATTACTCCTCCGAAGTAATAAAGGAGACAATAGATGAGTAATAAAAAATGGCAGATAGTATCTCTAATATTAGTTATAACAATTACAATTATATACAGTGAAGAATGTCAAATAAAGCAAATGAATACAGTGGATTAACCATGTCGTCCTCTCTGAGTTTATAGCAGAGTTTCTCCGAGTCATTTAGAGTAAAGAATGAAAAATTCAATGAATTGTGGAAAAACTGTTTCCCTTGCAGTGGTGTACTTGGGACAGACAAGAAGAAAGTGTTTCTCATCCTCTAATTGATTCAGTGTCTGTATAATCGCTGTTCTCTCAGAATCCTGGATTTTCCTTTCTCTCGTGGTCAGAGTGGATATTTTGAAAGAATTTGTCTTTCTTTTAATTGTTTAATTGATAAGTAATTTGCTGGTTGTGTTTAGGGCCGAATAACACTAGAGTTAGGTCTGTAGGTCAAATTAGTAGTTTTTTTTTTTTCATCATAATTATACTTTAGATTTTTGTCAATTTCTTTATGAATGTTGGGGTTGTGGTTCAGAGGTGTAAAGTATTGGAGTAAGTGTAATTGCTGTAATTGCTATTACTGTACTTGAGTATCTTTTTGGATACTTTGTAGTTGTACTGAGTATCAAAGATATTAGCAACCTTTACTCTTTACTCCACAACATTTGAAATGAGTGTTGCAGTTACACATTACATTTTGCATGGACCTAGCTTTTTCTGCGGCAGTTTATTTCTGCTACAAAAGACGTGATACTGCCTGCTACAGGTCACTGAAAGTACTGCATCGTTTGTGTTTTGCACTTACTCACCTTACTCACCCTTAATCACTTTGGATAAAAGCGTCTGCTAAATGCATAAATGTAAATGTTTTATATATGAGATGAGGACATGACCTGTAGACTGTTCCAGCTGCACCGCTAATTCATTAATGTAAATGTTAAACAACGTTGGACTCAGGCTATAGCCCTGCTGCACTCCTCTTTTCTGGGTGAAGAATTCTGTATGTTTGTTGCCAATTCAGATTGCACATTTGTTGTTTGAATACATTGATTTCTGTCTCTGTCTCTCTCTCTCTCTCTGACGCGCTCTCGTTGTGTGTTCTCAGGCGCTGAAGGTTCTGCGGACGGCTGAGTTTGCACCGTATGTCATCTTCATCGCAGCACCGACTATCACTCCTGCGATGAACGAGGTGAGCGTCGCTGGCTCGTCACAGGACATCCCGGCCGTCACGTTTCATTGCATGCTGCATGCGTGTTTCTGTGTGTTGATTGTTTTCTTCTTGCGTCTCTGCGCTGCTCGCAGCTCCCTAGATGGTGCAGAAAACTGCCTGTAAGTAAAGACGTGAGCCAGTGCAGTCGCTCAAGGACAGCCGCTCCGCCGTCAGTCACAAGCGGCCGTTCGCTTTCAAAAACACAAGATCCAGGCGAGGAAATGCAGGTCTAGAGGCACGGTTTTTAAAAGTTCTTTTAACTTGAGCACCGCATTTTTAGAAGACGCTGCAAAAGACTCTGCTGAGAAAACTGAGGAAAAGTAGTGCAGTGAAATGGGAAAAACGTGTTGTGTGAACGGCCCCTAATACATATTAATCGTGTCCGTTTTTGAGCTTCAAGGCCTGTTCACACCAAGAACAAATACTATATTAGCATCCACACCAGCGGACAGTATCATACAGTATTCACAGCGCTTCACTTCTTCCACATTTTGTTATGTTACAGCCTTATTCCTCGTGTTTTTCACGTTGTCATTATGGGGTATTGTTTGTAGAATTTTGAGGAAAATAATGCATTTAATCCATTTTGGAATAAGGCTGCAACATAACAAAATGTGGAAGAAGTGAAGCGCTGTGAATACTTTCCGCACGCGCTGTATTTAAATTTGTGATTGTTGCACCAAAATGCATGCATACAAGTCAGTGTTTTGTGTTTGGATAAAATTCAAAGATTTTTAGTCATACTTGAGATGTAATTTCTGTCTGTGCATTTTAGGATTAATATAGCAAACTAAAACTTTAACTAAAATTAAAACCAATAAAAAACATTTTTGTCACTTGAAATATAAAAAAACTATTTCAGCTAGTTGCCAAGGCAACATTTCTCATTTTAATTTAGTTTACATTGATGTACTACAATAACAAAAACTAAAAGAAGATTAATAAATACTATATAGACAAAAAAAACTACTACAAATGACAAAAACGCACAAGAAAATGACTAAAACTTTAACCAAAATTAAAATGAAACCAGAAAATATAAAAATAAAAACTGATTCAAAATAATAATAATGGTATAGTGCAGAACCTGCACTGTTTGTAATGAATGTGACTGAACACACATGGAGCTGCTGTGCTGGAGCGACTCGTTTGCGGTAGATGGCGTGTTTTCTCGTTAGCCGCGTGACGGAAGCGTGATCTCGCTGATGTTGTGTGTCTGTTCTCATCAGGACGAGTCTCTCCAGCGGCTGCAGAAGGAGTCGGAGGCGCTGCAGCACTCTTACACACATTACTTCGACCAGACGATCATCAATAACGAGATCGACGACACCATCCGCCTGCTGGAGGAGGCCATCGAACTGGTGTCTAGCACTGCGCAGTGGGTGCCGGTGTCCTGGGTGTACTAGCCATCACACACACACACACGGACTTTACAGCCCGGCCACTACCAGTGCGTAGCATTGTATATATCTATACATATATAAATATCTATAAATATGAACATATAAGTCATAGATATGGTCCTGTACTAATAACAAAGGGGGTTGATGACATTTTATACGATTTTCTTTTTAAACGTACGAGACGGCGTCTCAGAGCAATGATGAGCACAGTCAGTGGAGGGGGAGGAGCCAGCACCCCATCAGCCCCACCCTGTGGGCGTGGCTACGTGACTCCGCCCACTGGCCTGCAGTATATAAGCACAGCTGACCCTCTCTCTCTCTCTCTCTCTCTCTCTCTCTCCCTCTCCCGAAAGGGGAACAGAGTCGCGTGACAGACACAGTGATGAAGCTGGTATGTGTTTGCAGGACTCTCTCTCTCTCTCTCTCTCTCTCTCTCTCTCTCACACACGAGCACTGTTTGCATACACCCCTCTGTTTACAGATGTAGGTTTGCACAAAGGGCACCGCAGCCCAGCGCTCTTCCTCGGGCTGCTCCTCCTCTTCCTCTAGATGTGTGTGTCGAGATCCACCTCCGAGCCTCATGCCCCGTGTAGTGACGTGTTTGTAAATTGTCCTGGATTTGATTTCTTGTGCGGAACGAGGAGGAAAATATCCATTCCTAGATCGACCATTTCAGAAAATGTGCTGTCTTAAGAGTATTATTGTTTTACTCCGAGAAAACCGAGAGGATTTAATTGTGTGTAAATGTTTCAATGGTCTGTACATTTGCGGTTGAAATGAAGTAGTGTGTGCATAAACAACTCGCCGGACTGTGAACTCTTCATTTCATATTGCCCTGTGTAAATTCCTCTGCAAATGACAAAACTGCTCTTCAGTATGTCTGTTTGTTTTTTTAATCTGTTTCCTTTCATGTGTTGAAAAAGTAAATTGCTTTTGAAATCAGGTCATGCATGTTGTTTTTACGGCAGTGATGATGATGATGATGATGATGATTTCCTCCAGCAGATCATGTGGTGTCTCATAACAGTATTCAGGAACGAACACATACATCGCTAAGCCTAATAAAGGCAGTGATCTGCTTTATATCATTTATATTCAATGCAAAGTCTGAACAGAGGCGGACGGTAGTGAAGTATTTTTACTCTGCTTTAAAAGTACATTTTTCAAGTGTCTACATTATAAGTGTTTTTCTTTAGAAAACTAATACTTCTCAACATTCCAAAGCATAATATTGTACTTTTTACTGCATTGTTTCATATTAAATATAAATTAATACTTAATTACATCAGAAATCTAGTACTTTCTTTTACTTGAGTAAAGGTAATTCAAAGTTTTACTCGAGTACAAGAAAGTGCCACATTTTTAATGTTCTTAAGTATTAAAGCTAAAAATGTGTGTGTGTGTGAGAGAGAGTGTGTGTGTGTGTGAGAGAGTGTGTG